CTATATATATATACACATATATAACATTTAAAGAAATTATCCAGCTCTGAATGTGAAAAGAATAAAAAAAATCTTCCGTTGCAAGTGAAAGGTACTCTTGCATTGGCTGGACTTAAGGGTTTTCACATTCAATGACAGGGCCACATGCACAAGTGCAACAACAGCAACATGACTTCTCGGTTCAACCTAAAAAATGTTAGCTGTCAGCTGTCTGAAAGTTCAGAGTCTGACTAAGCTGACAGTGAAGATTGCAACAATTAATTGGCCTGTTTATTTTCTTCCTCTTCTTCTAAAAAAAATGTAGTATGTTTGTTTATGTGCATAAAACAATGATGGAAGTTACATTTTTCCTCTTTTTCACAAGGCTATCTTTAACTGCACATTAAAATCTATAAAAATTGGTCTCCAAGAAATCATTTGATTTATGTTTTACTTAATTTCATGGCTGTAATAAGAACTGATGCTGTTTTATATGTGTATGATTAAACATAACAGCCAGTCCTAATGATCATAGGTAGCACAAGCAGGGCTTGTCTCAGAGGTTGCCATAGTCATCCAAAGGTAACAGCATGTTTGATGTGTAGTCTGTTTTGTTTAGAAAAAGGAGCTTTAGATCTCTGTCTTGTTTCTTCTACTGAGCCAAAGAGCATTCCAGACTTAAAAATAAGCAAGTATATCATACACTATACACAACATGCTATTATCATAGAGTACCGTTTTTACTGAAATAGTTAAACTCAGAAAAAATCAAACACATTCAGTATTTACCCCAGCCAGTCCCTGCAGAGTAATGTAGGATTTCTTTAGTGTAGCATTATTATCATTATAAAACATTTTAAAATGAAAGAGAACATCTTCAACAACACATGGTCTACGTTGAAATCTTGTGGATAGAGGTGGGGAGGGAGAAAGAGAGAGAGAGAGAGAGAGAGAGAGAGAGAGAGAGAGAGAGAGAGAGAGAGAGAGAGAGAGAAACAGACAGGCAGGCACTTTTTAAAAACTATACTGCTCTATCAAGAACCTTGAAAAACTACACATAGGCTAGGTGTAGAGACATGGTGGAATCAGGCACTCGTCAATTTTTTGGCATACATACTATAGCCTAAAATGGTTATCATTCATTTGTTAGGCTTTTGATGACAAAAATACCCATCTCTGTCTTGAATAGAAGTTGAGACATTTGTGAAGTGGGGGTCACCTGGTGTCAAAGACTAAAATGAACAAGAAATATTTCAAAGTTTGGGGACTTCAAGATGACCTCTTGAGAGCTCCTCAGAAATTGAAAATGTACATTTTGTGTGCCTAAAATTGATGTTTTTCTGTAAAATCTACACATAAACGTGTTGTTAAATGGTGTCGAGCCAAAAAAACAGAAGTTGATAAAAATTGCCAAACCAGCGGAAAAATGCAGCTTTCTTCAATTTCATTAAAACTAAAGGCCTAGATCTAGTCTAGATCTAGATCTAACTGACAAGCTCCAGATTTCACCACATATTTAACCTCATATATATTTAGATCTAGAATTCTAGATAGGATCAGGATATAAATCGGGAGGAGTTCCGCAGAGAGCCGGCACATACCGTGACATGGTCCACTGAGCAAACTACAAAGAGTTCTAAGGGTCAGGTGTGGTTGGTCGGCCGGCCCTCTGCTGAACTCCTTCCTTTAAAACTATGCAGACCTTGTGGTGGCTACGTTCACGGCGCCATGAACGTAGTTGGCAGGCTACGTTCACGGCGCCCTGAATGCAGTTTGCAGGCGCTGTTGAGGCTACGTTCATGGCACTCAAGCTTTGTTTAGACGAAGCATCCACTGCCCATTTAAGTAAGCCGGTTTTAGTTAATGACGACAGTGACATTATAATATTTCGGTCTGCTTCGAGCTTTCCATCCCATGAGATGAAGGAAAACGAAGCAGTGACCCTTGACCGATCAACCATTCGTCGTTTTCCCTTACACTGAGCTCTGGCTCAGAGCTCGCCAATAAGGGAAAACGACAAACTCTCAATTACGCAGCAACGCATTAGGATATAATGACAAAAATGTATAGATGTTTCAAATTCCCTATCTCAAGTCCTGGCGAGACTTGGGCGCGACGACATTGTGTTAACGCATGACGGCCTGTAATATAATACGAGTGAAAACAAATGGTCCAGCGTTCTTCAGTTGAAAGCGGCGCGTGCAATTTTGTCTGCGGGCAGTGTGTGTGAGAGCGTTAGTGTGTGTTTGTGTGTGTGTGTGTGTGTGTGTGAGAGAGAGAGAGAGAGAGAGAGAGAGAGAGGGAGAGAGAGAAGGGGGTGGGGGGGCAGAAAAAGAGAGA